GCTCACCGGTGTTCTTTCTGTCTCTCTTCCTAGTACGAGATTAACAAGTCCCTCCTGCTTGCGAGGACGCTGCAGTTCTCAGTCTGGCACCACGATCGCTTCGGCCGCAACACGTTCCTGGGGGAGGTGGAGGTCCCGCTGGACGCCTGGGACTTTGAGAGCCACCTGGATGAGTTTCTCCCCCTGCACGGCAAGGTGCTGGCCCTGCCACCCAGCCCTGCCACCCGCAGCAGCCTCCCTCGCCTGGCCCTGTCCCGGGGGTGGCCCTCGTGGGCACAGGGGCTCAGAGACCTTGGCTGAGAGCTGCCAGAAGGCTTGTGCCAAACCAAATCTTTGGAGAAACCGAGACCCCAGAAGCAGACAGCAGTGCTGTCGCAGTAAAAAAGGGCAGATCTTCTGCCTCGAGCCTGGCTCCCCTCCTCCTGGTCAGTAAATCCCCTGTGGGATGCAGCGGGATGTGTCCCTGCCCCATCAGCTATTTTCATTCTGCTTCCTTGATTGCTCCAAGAGCGCAGCTCTTCCCAGCTCCCGGCCGAGAGGAACTGGAGCCAAATTCAGGGAAACAAATGGGGGAAATTGGCTGGGACATCCTGCTGCGGGTTGCAGAGCCGGGCGGCGAGGGCCTGTGCGGCTCGATGGCGACAGCAGGTGCTGCTGCTGGGCTGAGAAGTCCGGTTCTCCGGACTGGCTCGTGCTGCGGGCTCAGCCCTCGGCGCTGCTGGGGCTTGAGCAGCTTGTGGGAACCCCAAACTAGGGTTTCCCCAGGGAGGTGGTTGAGCCAAAGTAGGACCCCAAAGGGATCCCAGAGGAGCTGATCTGAATCTGACGGGGTGGTGCTGCGGAGGGTCTGCAGCCATTCGTGTCAGCTAAGCCACCTCCAGGAGAAGGCAAGCCCTTTGGCCCCGCACGGGGAGGTGCTGCGTGCAGACCAGGACATCACCATGTCCGCTTCGGCCTCTGCAGCGGTGTCTGAGAAGCCTTCCCTCTTTGCAGATTGGGGCAGATGCTGCTGGTCTCCACCAGTACAAGGGGGAGCTGGTTGTCTCCATGAAGTACATCCCGTCTTCCAAGCATCCCGGGGCTGGGAATAGCAGGAAGGGTGAGTGCTGAAGCTCCAGGATCTCTGTGTAGCCTGGGGCACCTGCTCGTGGCCGCGTGGGTTGGGTCTGGGTGGGTTTCTTGGGTGGTGCCACTGCAGCCTTCTCTGCAACGCCTGCAAGGCTGCTCTGGCTCGGGGCAGACCTGGCTGTCCTCACGCTGGCCCAGCAGTCCCAGTGCTTTGCTGGGGCTGGACCAGACTGGACCACCAGGCCCTGTGTGAAGCAGTTGTCTGCCTTCTCCTCAGCAGGCAGGGCCAGTAAGGGAAGAGGCAGGAGGAGACACCAGCTGGGGATCTGTACCTGCCTCTGCCATGCAGGAAAAAGGACCTTTCCAGAAGTTAGCAGTGGTGGAAATTAAGGTTGATGAATTCTTGCTGTGTTGGGTTTTTCCCAGGCAAAGCGGGGGAAGGCGGTGAGCTCCAGGTCTGGATCAAAGAAGCCAAGAACCTCACGGCTGCTAAATCAGGAGGCACCTCTGACAGCTTTGTCAAGGGGTGAGTGTGGGTCCCGGGTGGGGGGGATGGGTCTCTTAGCTGCCCCACGCTGTCTGAGTTGGTACCCTGAAAGTCACTGCCTGCCCACCTCTGCCTGGAGGCGAGATGCTCCTGGTAGCAAATGCTCTCTTGGGTTTTGGCCGTCTCAGAGGTCGCAGTCAGAGTCTGCATGCAGGGCAGGGCTCCTGCTGCCATCAAATGGTCTTCCCAGAGGTCACCAAGCCACTGGGCAGCGTGGCTGGAGGTGAGCAGCTCCATGCTCTCTCTCCTCCTTAGACCACCTGCAGTCTGCTGGGCGGCTTTTCAGGGGTCGGGGCAGGGGCCCACCCCCTTGCAGACCGTCGTGGCTCTTCTTGGGCCGTGTTGGGGAAGGTGGGCTCCAGCCCAGGTCCTGGGGTTACTGAGGTGCCCCAGCCCCTGGGGCAGAAGGCGGTTACACAGGTGCTGCTAACCCAAAGGGCTGCTTTCCCCAGCTACCTCCTGCCACACAAAAACAAAGCCTCCAAGAGGAAGACGCCCGTGGTGAAGAAGACCCTGAACCCTCATTACAACCACACCTTTGTCTACAACGGCGTCAACCCCGAGGACCTGCAGCACCTCTGCAGGTGTGGGACCGAGAGCCGCTGTCCAGCAATGACTTCCTCGGGGGTGTCCGTCTGGGGGTGGGCAACGGTGAGGAGCTCTGGGGTCCTACCACACCTTGGGGACAAGCAGCCTTGCTTGGGGCTGCCTCGCTGGGGGCAGGAGGCTGCTCCAGCAGTAACTTTGCTCCCACCCATGCTTTCTCCCAGGCATGAGCAACGGGCAGGCTGTGGACTGGATGGACTCCACGGGCGAGGAGCTGAACCTGTGGCAGAAGATGTGCCAGTACCCGGGCTCGTGGGCGGAGGGGACGCTCCAGCTCCGCTCCACCATGGCCAAGCTGAGGCCGTAGGCTGCGGCACCGGGACTCAGCGGAGGGCTGGCACTGCTGTGTGAAGCCACGCTCTGGCAGGGCTGCCAGACAGGGGCTGGTGGGGGGTTTTTTTTGCTTATACTTGAATAAACATGATCTTCTCTAAACAGGCTTGGGCAGAAAGTCTTCTTGGCCTGGCTTTGTTTAAAGGGTTTTCCTTTTGTCTTAAGCTTTGCACCACGTTTTCAGGCTGAACTGGAGTCCTTGTGGACGCTCCCTTCTTACCCCCCAGGCAAAATGCTTTGAAATGCTGCGGTTGGGTTTTTCTTTTTTTGCTTATACTTGAATAAACATGATCTTCTCTAAACAGGCTTGGGCAGAAAGTCTTCTTGGCCTGGCTTTGTTTAAAGGGTTTTCCTTTTGTCTTAAGCTTTGCACCACGTTTTCAGGCTGAACTGGAGTCCTTGTGGACGCTCCCTTCTTACCCCCCAGGCAAAATGCTTTGAAATGCTGCGGTTGGGTTTTTCTCTTCTTTCCATTCCTCTTCATTCGTCCCACGCCCTCTGTTTTAGTCTGCTCCTTCCTCATCTTCCCCACCCTCCTGGCGTGGGATGCTGCTGGCTCCAGGGCTGGGGCAGCCGGGCACTGCCCAGTCCCAGTCCCAGCTCTGGCTGTGGGGCCAGGATGGAGCCATGTGGGGTCAGCTTAGGGGGGCTGGGGGTAGCTGTCCCCGGGGAAGGACTCGTTTCCCGGGCGTCTCTGCGACACACCTTCTGCCAGCACTGACTTTTATACAAACTTATTTATTCTGAGTTAATATTCTACTGCCAAGGCAGCTCCCGGGAAGGACGCCCCATGGCTGGGGGCAGGGGAAGCGAGGGGTAGGGTGGGGAGGGCGAGCCTTCGGGGGGGGTGGCTGTGTGCTGGTTT